AGAAGGGGCACAGAGAAAGGGAGAGAGAGAGGGGAAGAGAATCCCAAACAGGTTCTGAGCTGTCAGTGCAGAGCCTGATGCAGGGCTCAAACTCAAGAACTGTGAGATCTTGAGCTGAAATCAAAAGTCACAACTTTAACCGACTGAGCACCACTCAAGCTCCCCTCCCATGAAACTTTTTTTTAACATTTATTTATTTTGAGAGAGGGAGAGAACAAGCAGGGGAGGGGCAGAGAGAGAGAGAGAGAAAGAGAGAATTTGAAGCAGGCTCCACACTTTGTGCTGAGCCTGGAGTGGGGTTCGATCTCACAACTGAGATCATGACCTGAGCCAAAATCAAGAGTAGGACGCTTAACCAACTGAGCCACCCAGGCACCCCTCCCATGAAATATTTTAAACATACGTTCTCTCTCAAATTGGTCTATTGTCTTTAGTTTCCAAGTATGAGCTTTTTCATGTGTTTTGTCTACTGGTTATTGCTAATGGTGGCTTTCTTTTATTCTTCTCCTGCATGTACTATAATTTTTAAAAGTAAACTTAACATCAGTAGGAGTTTGCCGGTCTTATTTAGTGGTTTTGATTTTAGAACTTTTGTTTTTGGTGGGAATGGAACACGTACTGTGATGGTGAGACAGTTTGTGAGCTAGCTGGTTGTAGGTTGTCCCCTGTCAGGGTCTCAGAGTTTAATCAATTCCAGACCAAGTTTTTACATTATCTTCTTGGTTTGTGGCTTGTATACTACATGAGAAGAACTTCAACCCCCAACCCCCATACAGCACAGGTTGGGGCTTGTATTTCCTGTGAGTGATCCCAATGTTCCAGGGTGGTTTGTGGACTGCCACACATATCCTCAGCAGAATTCTCCTTCTTGCATGCTTGGTCCTCACTAACAGCTTAAGCAGTGAGGTGGTTTCCTATGGCCTCAGTTCTGATCCCCAAAGGGTATTGAAACTCTAGCCCCTAAGAACCGTACTCATTGCCCATATTTTTATAAAAATCTTTTAATTCCTTCTTGCTGATCATTGCTCTACCATTGAGTTTGCTCTTCTGGCACCTGGAGATTTATCTTATTTGTGTGCCAGCCTGGCAATGATCTTTTTTTTACATTGTATATTTTCATCAGCATCTCTCTGTAATCAGGGGGGAATGTGCCTTGACAGTTCAATCTATCAAATTGACCAGAAGGCTTTGATTATACATTTAGATACCAGTCCTTTCCACTTGACTCTGTGTTCACAGAGGACAGAGACCTTTGTCTCATTCATCTTTCACTACTAATTTTTCAGACAGTGCCCAGACCAGAGTAGGAAGCAAAAAAGATTTGGCTGATGAATAAAAGAATTAATCAGTTTTCTCTCACTCTAAATGGGAATGAAAGACCGTATACTAATTATCTTCTAGAGAAATATGATTCCAAGAAGCTCTGGAAAGCCATCCATGCCCTCTGGAAGGTTCATGTTGAACACACAAAAAGTTTGCCTTAGTCCAGCTTTGTAGCAAGTAGGTTCACTACTATTGACACTACTTTCTTGAAGGGCAACCACTGCTAATTACAGTCCTGGTCTGGTAGAAATTCAAAGTCTGGCAAGCTAGATTCTTGACTGGTGGCTCTGCTGCCTTTTTAGCAGATACTGATGTTCTTTTATAGCCATAATTAGAACCTGATCAACAACATGTAGTGTACAATGATATCATTTTTACTGTTGGTGCCATAAAGAGCTTGCCGATTAAGTTCACGTTGTTTTTAAGTAGGCTCCACACCCAATGTGGGGTTTCAACTCATTACCCTGATATCAAGAGTTGGATGCTCTACTGACTGAGCCAGCCAGGCACCCCAAGTTCACATTCTTGAAAGCACCTTGCACAGTACTTGTCACATAGTGAGTACTGAGTTAAGATTTAGTGTGTTTTATGTCTTCTTTTACATTAAAAAAAAAGTAAAAATATTTGTTGAAAATCTATTGCCTCCTAGGCATTGTTCCTAGTGCAGGACATGGAAGGGAATAATATACAGTCCCTGCTCCAATCCTAAAGTAGAAAAAGAATGTCCAAAGTAAATTTAACAATAGAAAATTATTCTAAATGTCCTCCTACTTAAAGTGAAAAGATATTTCACCTTATCCCACCACCCTAAAATGCCTAATAAAGTATAACCATCAGAATATGGGTTACCTGGTTGACTCAGTTGGTTAAGCATCTGACTCTTGATCTCAGCTCAGAATAACCTTGCCTATTACTATTTTATAAGATTCTCTCTCTTCAGAGAGGAAATACAACTCACAGTGAACACATGAGCAGACAAAAGAGAGCTGATTATAAAAGGCATCTGACATAAAGGACAATGATTTTTGAGCTTTTATCACTATAATCCCAGAACCTAGAATCATGCCTGAAGTAAAGTAGAATAAGTTTGCTGCATGTTTTGCACATATATATACAGAGGTGTCCATCCACATATATGGCCTAAGTTGTCACTCATTATTCCACACATTTATTGAGGATTCCTATGAACAAGAGTCTGTGTTAGATTTTGCAATGGAGACAAAGAAAAAAGAACAAGAACAAGAACAAGAAAAGAACAAGAATAAGATAGAAATCCTATTTACAAGGAGCTTTCAGGCATAAGAATGACACAGACAGGTGTATAAATCACCATGATATAACACAGAAAATGTTAAGAACAGAGAAAAGGTCTATGGGAGTTCCAAAGAAGGAAAGGCCACTTCCTGCTGAGGGATTAGATAAGACTGTGGCTAATATAGAATGTGTTGTTTTCAGTCTTGAAGGATAAGTAATTTGTGGCGTGCAGAAGGGAGAAAATGGGCACTGGCAAAGAAAAAAAGGGGTGATTCCGATGGAAAGAATAGCTTAGGCAAAAGGAGAGAGGCAGAAAAGCACAGGGTATATAAGAAGAAATATAAATTTAAATTAAAAAATATAAATATAAATTGCTGGAGATGCATAAAAGGATATAAAGGGGGCTAAAGAGAAATAAGGCTAGAAAGGTAAGATAAGCCACATTGCAGGGGCTTTGGAGGTGTCCTGATTTACCATTCCAGAACACAGGGTCTCTATCGAGTAACCAGAGCTTAGCATATGGTGGAGCTTAATTAATACTACAACAACTTCATAGCAGGAACCTGTTCCCCATGTGCACACAGGAAGCTGCCATCTGTACGCACAGGCAATTACAAACATTCCAAATACTCTGCCCTGAACCCTGCAAGCACATCAAATACTCACTGTAAAAGGTCACCCAGCAAACAGCTCTGATCAATCCTGGCTCAGGCAGAATCAAATCCCCTAAATAAGATCCACTAGATGCAATGTCAGGAAGGTCAGAAACAACCCTATTTCACATCTTGAAGCATTTTTACCATATGGAACATTTTAGAGGAAGAAGGGAAAGGAAAGAGTAAAAAAAAAAACCCTCTCCAGAAATCATAGAATTCCAAGTAATCAAACATTAAATAATCACAAAGTAAGCAAGGGGTTTATTTTGGCCCCCACCTCCTTCTAATGATCTAAAAAGCAACTGATTTCAAAGAAGGCCATGCCAGGATTAAAAATGGAGTTTCACGCCTCCCCCCTCCTCCTCCCCAGTGCATCCCCATTGTGTACCTTTGTCGAGTTCACTTGAAATGTTCCATGATGAGGTAGGCACTAACTCAGCAGTGACTGACAACTCTGTTTCTGGAAAGAAAAAGAAGGGAGGGGAGAAAGACAAGGGTGATATTAAATATATAAGTAACTTATGGGCTGTTAGAAGCATTACAGGAGATTTCCAAAGGCACTGCCTTCTGAGAGAGACCACTGCAATCCCATAGCTTATTAAACTGAACAGCCGCTCTGCTTGCCAGGCAGAGGCGCCTGCATTACAGAGTCTATCCAGATGAGCAATCTGTAGGCCAGATTCAAAGAGGTGTTGTTTTTTTTTTTCTTTAAAACATGGGCTTGAAAATTAAAATACAAAGATTTCATTAACAAAACAAACTAAACCTGCAGAAATGACTGAACGTTATCAAACATCAACTCTTCCTTTTCTTGTTAGAAGATCACTCTTAGACAATATATTCAATAGTCTTTCCATGAAAAATGAGAACTAAGTTTGCTCTTTCTGCTGATTTCACTTGCTGTGTTTGTGAATTGATAGCGTTTCTATTAATGGAGAAATCTATTTCTCTACATTGAAACTTAGAGTCAAGACAAATGAAAGCTAAGTTTTTGAATCTGAGAGTCATGTGAGGTAACTAAACTCAAAAGACAATTTTCAAAACCACCATAAATTAAAGCAAACATGCAAATCAACAACAGAAAGGGCATAAGACACTATGAAGATTTAAAAACTCTACAGCAGTAATAGACTGTAACATACAAATGATGTTTTTATTGTTGTTTTTGAAATTTTAAGCCATGATGATGTCATGTACATTTTAATAGGGTTGCATTAACCTCCCCTTAGACCATACACACACACACACATACACACACACACACACACACACACACACACACACGTACTTTAGTACATACAGAACTTTAGTACGGAGCAGAATCTTGGAGAACTCAGTGCCTACAACATTAGATAATGACACCCACATGAATCCATTTTCCTTCCTTCAATCTGGTACAGACATCATTAATCAATTATGGCTCTTTTTGCCTGTTAAACCTGAGATCTGCCTTAGAGTCTTTCCAGTACAGTGCTCTAGGTAGACACTAAAAATGGATCTGAAATGCAAGGTGAACTTTTTAGTAAGTGGAAGAACTGGGATTCAAATCCAGGTCTGTTTCTATTGCCTACATATCTCCTAGTAGCTCATGCTACCTGGTACTCAGGTCTGTGAAACCTGATTTGTTTTTCATCTTACCTCTCTCTGGCTTCACCTTTTACCTAGATAAGCACACTTTCTACTGTTTCCTTATTTACTGATAGGGCTTGGCTGCCACTTGGCCATAGAAATCACACACCATAGTCAGTGAGCTTTGTCAAGAACAGGATGTTTATCCACTGAGACCTTGCAAAGACCCACTTCTAGTTTGTCTACCGGGTCTCTGATCAACCTGCCACCTACAGCAGAGACAAAAGGGTTGTTTGGTTTGTGCAGACCTCCTTGACTTGCCCTGTCCCAGCAGCAGGTGGGAAAGAAAGTAGACAAACCACGCATACCCTCCTCAGTGCAAGTGGCCCCAGTCCCCTCCTATGTCCTGAGCTAAAAATGGCACAGATTCTTTAAAGGGGACCTGAAGTCAGGTGCACAGTATGGCAGGAACCTCAAATCATATAAGATTGCAAAATATGGAAAGAAAAAGAAAACAGCATCCCAGGTGGGAAAAATGCTTAACACAAAACCACAGTAGAAGGCAGGGCTTCTGGTATTAACCACTTGTCCTAGGAATGGGTATTTCATGCAGGTGACTTCATGAGGAAAAGCTAATTGTCTGTATCTGAGGGCCCTCCATGAAGGACTCCAACCACAGCTCCGCTTAACCCTGTTCCTGTTGCCACCTACTTTGGCTCTTTGAATAATGGCCCCTTGTTTGCAGTATTATGGACTACTGTGGTTCACCTTCCAAAAGGGCTCATCAAGCACTCCAATACCCAGACTTCAGGGAGCTTGGGAAGAGAAGCATGGCAGCCAAGGCAGCATTTCAGGCAAAGAAGCAAAAGGTGGGGAAGTGGTGGGATTAAGGCAGATCTTGACGGCATTTACATTCAATATTTTCATAGCTTCATCTTACTGCTGCTCACAGTTAAACTGCCAGAAATATAGGTTTCATTTTACAGTATTAATTTTTATAGAAAGTTAGCTCTATGTCCCTTGGTTTTTCTAACCTGACTTTGAATTGCTGATTGAGTATAATTTGGGACCGATGACAAATGAATAGTTTCTTGGCACTGCTAAGAGTAAAATTATTCCCCATGTGTCCCTGGACACTAATTACTACTCGGTTCTTAGACTATGGCAAAGATAATTTCAATTCGCAAGCTCATTTAGTGATTGTGATGATTCTGAGGAATTCCGTACTCGGCCTCAAGATCTATTCCTTCAGATAACCACATGTTCAGCTTCTCGATAGAGTGATAATAAAAACAGATAAAATATTTTGAAATATGAATAACCTTCCTAAAATATTATCTTCCAAGGCCATATATTTTAAAAGAAAGGGTGATTATTTTATGTGAAAAGTTTAATGTTAGCAATTCTCCCTCACACACACAAAAAATGATGTTTAAGAAGCTTCCCCTCCCCCAAAAGGAAGATTGACTTATATGTGAGAAAAATTCAGTATGTCTCAGCTTTGACTCCATGGAGTCAAAGGTTAGTAGTAGCTTTAGAGAGAGACACAACCATCAGCCTTGACCATGTAGGATCTCCACTAATGGATTCAGCTTCTTTCCTACCTCCTCATCATGGCAAAAGGAGGAGATATTTCCAAGGACATTTCATACCAGACTGGCAACATCTCTTTGTGTAAGAGTATTGTGGTAAGAGCAAATTAATATGTACTAATTAGTAGATAGTTGAATAGCTAAATTACTAATTTTGTGATCATAAGCAAGTTATTTAACATCTTTTGACCTCTATTTTCTCATCTGTAAAATGGGGACAATGAAAGCCACCTCACAGGACTGTGGTAAGGATTACATTAGATTGTGGTCCAAAAGGGTCCTGCACAGTGTCCAGCATAGAGTAAGCACTGAAGATCTTTTGTGACTTCCTCTCTGTCTAGTAAGGCAGATAATAGTCATCCTCTACGTGGACATACTCCTGTTAGCTGCTACTTCACTGTCGAGGTTTGAAATAACACATTCTCCATGCTTTTAGAAAAGACTCTGTATTTCTCATGCCTTACTAATCTAAGCCAATCTTTTCATTTTTGTGAGGTTTTCCCGAATTGGTCACCAGTTCTCTTAAGAACATAAGTGTTTTTATGTACTTTTATCCAATTTAGGCAAATCAAGCATGTTTTAGAAAACTCCAGCCCTTATCTTCCCTGACCCCTGCAGGAGGGCAAACCATTCTTCTCCCGATTTAATCAATAGGAGCTATTATCTTTGCAGTTTCACTGATGATTGACTTCTTGGCACGGATTCTGCAAACCATAAGGTTTTGGTATTTAAGCCTGAACAGTGGGAGTGTTATTTGGAGGAAAGGAAAAAAAAAAAATAAGCCTTGAATCCTCCTCATTGATAAAAGCCTGTGCTCTCTGAAAGGATTACTGGTTCATCTCAGCAGTTGGCAGGTGGAGACCCAACGTTCACAGGATGTGGAAGCTCTTATAAGAAGCACCCAGCCATGCCACATCCTGTATCCTGATCCAGGGATACGTGACGTTACACAGACATAAACCAGCATACTCCAGAGACTAGAGGCCAGCACAATGGTCACAAAGGCCAAGTGTGAGGGAACAAATGTCTATCCCATGGCCCTCCTTGACCAGAGACCCTGAGTCCCAGAATGTTGTATCTGGGTGTGCCTTAGCTATAATTCTGTTTTTTGCACCCACAAGATTTTGTGGGACATTACAGGATGTAGGGGGAGAGAGGACAAGAGGACAGGGCTCTAGGCCCTCCTTCATCAGGAACAATTTTCTGTTTCTCTCTTTTACGTATCAGATATTGTGGAAAAGTCTTCGATGCTCTAAACCAAAAACCAAACAAACAAACATTAAGCCTCTAATATGGTGTGGTCTTCTCATTTTACAGATGAAGAAAGTGAGGCCCACAGTAGTCAGGTGATTTGGCGAAAATCACAAAAGTTCTAAGTAGAGCCAGGCCTTAGAAATGGCTTAGAAATAAACGCATGCTGCCTTCTCTCTGTGATCCATTTTCTTCTGTCTGTGCCTCTAAGCTGTGATACGTATCCTTAGAAGCTAAGTTCAGAGACACACAGGGCATTTTCAAACAGCCAGGGTCAGTCCCACTAAACAGGCACACCTTCTCTGCTTATGATCACTGGGGGCCAGGGGAGGGTGGGAAGGAGGTGGGCAAGCTGATGGCTTTGAGTTGTCTGCTGAAGGCTCTTAGCCATGGTTGCTTCCTGACTCCAGTGCCTCAGTGGAGGAGAAGCCCATAGCCAGGTATCACCAAAAGTACCTATTTGGAAAAGTAACAGGCAGTTTACACTCTGTAACAGCACAAGGGGTTAGTCAGCCAGGGCGTTGCTGCAGCTCTGGGATCACAATCACCCCACATCTGGGATTCTGCATGAGGGGTCCTTCCACTCTGGGGACTGAACTTACTGAGAGAGGGAAGCGAGAGCCTTTCTCACCCCAGGTGGGATAGTCAGGACTGGAGAATTACTATGCTCAGTGTCTACAAGGACCTTATAATCCTCAGTGGCCTCAAATTTGGATTTCTGATGTAATCTTTAAATGAAATTAACAGTACAGTCACAGAGAGAGAAGACGGCACAATTTTGCCACCTTAAACCCCCTGCTCAGGAACCCAACCACACCACCTACACTGCACTATGAAAACATATTTTTTTAATAAAACCTGTAATGACTTTGTAAATAGCACAATTACCATAGAGGTGGCAAAGCCATAAACTTGTTGAAGAAAACTTTAAAGTATACTGAACTTTGTAGTATTATTCATATTTTTATATAGAGGGAATTGTAAAAAGCAAAATAAAAAAAATAAGAAGGATAAAAAAGGTGTCCAGGTTTTCTTAATGTGTAAGGGG